ACGTTAGCTGCTGTATCTCTCTTCCTCCTCCTCCTCCTCCTCCTCTTTCTGCTCCTCCCCTTCTCCCTCCTACATTCTTCCTCAGCCCAGTCTTGGGCTGCGCCACCTCCTGGCCCACAGGTTCTGTCCTTTTTGTCTGTCTGTCACCACTTTGCTCTGGCCAGGCAACCCAATTAAAGGCCATCATTAAAGTCAATCTGGCGTTTCCAAGTCCTTTCAAAACCACTCGCCTTTTTGCTTTCCTCTGAAACGTCCATAATTTTTACACATTTAATTCCCCAGATGCTGTTCAATTCTTGCATCTCAGATTGAGCTAAGCCCCTGCAGCAGTTTCAGTAACAGCTTAATTATGGCATCTCTCCTCTGATCCTCTCCCTCCATCACCACCCAGGAAGTAGTAGGAAGCGGGATGGGATGTGTTCTCTGCCCAAACCTGCTTCTTTCCCTGCAGCTCTCCTCTTAGCCTGCCATTGGCTTCCTCCCAACGGAAGATCTCCGAATCACCCTTCTCTCCTGCTCCCACTCCTCTTTCCAGCAGCTCTTCAGGATGAAATGCACCCTGCTGAGGAGTGTTTGTCTAGACTTCAGCGGTCCCAGGACTACCGCCCAGCGTTCACCAACTCCCCTTGACTGAACTAAGATTCCTTCCCGGGTGCTACTCCTTTTTTTTTTTTTTTTTTTTTTTTTTTTGGTGGTATGTTGTACTCATTTTATTTGGGTGATGAGCATAGGCACATTAACTTTCTAATGCTTATGATTTTCAGCTTCAGGTAGTTTTTCTGTATATGCCTTTTAGTTCAGGAAAAGATGAAGTGCAAATAAAAACGCCATCCATAGCCGGGCGGTGGTGGCTCACGCCTTTAATCCCAGCACTCGGGAGGCAGAGCCAGGTGGATCTCTGTGAGTTCGAGGCCAGTCTGGTCTACAAAGTGAGTTCTAGGAAAGGCGCAAAACTACACAGAGAAACCCTGTCTCGAAAAACCAAAAAAAAAAAAAAAAAAACAAAAAACAAAAAAAAACAAAAAAAAACGCCATCCATGGATTTTCATAGCCCTCTACATCATGTTGTATTGTGATCTCAAGCATAAAAATAATGTCCATCATATACCCCTCTCCTCTATATCTTGGTGTCCTTTTTCTGTCTCTCTGTCTTTCTGTCTCTCTCTATCCTTATTAATATGGTTACAAATAATATTTACAGGGAACAAATAAAAAAGCACCTGTTGTTCTGTATGTTAGATGTTCTATCTTTTGTCTCTTGGGACACATTCCATATTGATGCATACAGATTTGTCCATTGTTTGAAATAAGAAATGAACTAATCTCTGTATGTCATTTATTTAAACACTTCTCTCTGTCTCTCTCTGTCTGTCTGTCTGTCTCTGTCAGTCTGTCTGTCTGTCTGTCTGTCTCTCTCTCTCTCTATATATATATATATATATATGACAGAAAGTATAGCACTTTTCCATGTATATATGTATGTGTATGTGCACATGTGCACACATTTATATGAAATTATTTTTATTTTACAATTTTTTTTATTTTGCAATACAATTCAGTTCTACATATCAGCCACGGATTCCCTTGTTCTCCCTTTCCCCCCAGCCTACCCCCCATTCCCACCTCCTCCAGGGTGCTACTCCTTTTTTAAGCCTCGTATTAATGTTCACACTTACCCACCTGCTCATCCATCTAAGCATTCATCATCTTCATCTTCTATCCATCTCTCCACCCACCTGACACACTCCACACCTGACACACTCCACACCTGACACATTCCACACCTGACTCTGCACCTGACACACTCCACATCTGACACACTCCACACCTGACACATTCCACACCTGACATTCCACACCTGACACACTCCACACCTGACACTCTACACCTGACACTCCATACCTGATTCTGCACCTGACACTCTGCACCTGACACTCTGCACCTGACACACTCCACACCTGACACACTCCACACCTGACACACTCCACACCTGACACACACCACACCTGACACACACCACACCTGACACACTCCACACCTGACACTCCACACCTGACATTCCACACCTGACACACTCCACACCTGACACACTCCACACCTGACACTCCCCACCTGCTACAATCAAGACTCCATCCTGTTTCTCAGTCTCATTTCCAACCATCTTCCAGGAGTAGTCTCAGAATTCAGGGCTTCCTGAGATAATTAGTTATTCAGTCTGTCTGTCTGTCTGTCTTTCTCTCTTTTACACACACACACATGCACACACACACACGCACACACACACACACACACACACACACACACACACACACACACACACACACACTTACTTCTGATTGGAAACCCCATATCCATCCTTAAAAAACCCAGCACAAATGAAGTCTTTTCTCAAGGGTCACACTACCACAGCATCTCCTCCATGGTTGCCACTTGGCTGGGCCCTGAGCACAATGATTACAACAGAAACAGTATCTGCTCTCTAAGAGCTCCCAGGAAGGTGAGAGGTGGGGCATAGAAATTAAAGGCAGAATATATCAGGCAGCCTTCTGTAACTGCAAGGACTTCCATGAGACAGGCAATTTTTAAGAGAAAAGGGTTTTTTGTTTTGTTTTGTTTTTTGGCTCACAGTCTTGTAGGTGTTAGTCTACAATTGGGCTTTCAGGTCTCCTGTGTGTGTCTGTTGGGCATAGCACATTATGGTGTGGTGTGAATTCATGGTGTGGCAGAGCTGATAACCTCATGGCCAGGAAGTGGAGAAGGGGAAGAGGAGGGGCTGGGGTCACATGAAGCTGTGTTTTCAATGAACTAAAGACTTAAAGATTCCCCCATCTCCTAACAGCACCACACTGGGAAGCAAGCATTTAACACATGGGCCACTGGGAGACATTCAAGTTGAACTTTAGCATAGTTCTCAGAGTCACACATGCGTCAGAATCCCCAGGAGGGCGTGTGAAGCCAGGGGTGCCCGGCCAAACTCCAGGGTTTCTGATCAGTGCTCATGTTGGTTTGTACTTCCAACAAACTCCTATTCAATGCCAGTGTCGCAGGCCAGAGAGGACGCTTGAGAACTGCTGTCAGAGCACATGGTCAGGGACTACTCTCTGAGGGGAACTGTCATTTGAGCTATACTTACAGGAAGTGGAGGAGGAGCCAGGGAAGAAGGAGGTGCTAGTGTGGTCCAGGTAGGGTGTTCAGGTCCCAGCAGGAAGAACCTGCCACGGAAAGGAAGGGACTGGAGTACAAGTGCATGGCTGGGCCTCCTGAAGCTCCAGCAAACGGATGCTCTGGGCATCTGCATTATTGACCCACATGGTCTCCCTCTTTAATTCTTTTCCTTTCTTGTTTCTCTGGTCTCAACCTCTTGACAGGGAGCCCCTTCAAGGCAGAATCTGTATTACAGTCGCCTGTGGAAGAACACAGCCCACTCAGGACCTGCTGTGCAATCAATGCCCAGGGAACCCAGCTTGGGCTGGATTTTAACATTCCAGATCTTTCCAGTGTATCAGCAAAGGATGACTCTTTAGTGTTTTATCTTCTTGTGTATTCACCCTGACAACGTGTATTCCCAGTTATTCCCAAGTGAAGCTGGTCTGACCACTGCCTCTATCTCAAATTCTCTTCTCCCAAATATTTGCTGCCTAGATTTTCAGCTCATTTGGTGATAGAAGAAAAAGAAAAAAGACTCCTTGAAGTTAAATGGATCTTCTTCTTTTACCTTCTCAAATTCCAGGAGCTGGGGCATGGTGAGAGAGGAACATCCCAGAAGCCCATGGGGCTATTCTCCATAACACCTGTAGTGGGCCCTGGTGAGGAGGGCGCAGTCATAGAAGGAATCAGCAGTTACCTTCCTCACCATTACTGACTCAGTGGCTGCCTTTCCTTACTTAGCCAGCTCCCTGAAGATCCCCTCATTCAGGGCAAGGGTGGAACAAGGCAGAATTGGGGTTCTCTGAAGCTAGTGGTGGGCCTTGTTTCCAATATTTCCTTCCACACTAGAAGGCACAATAAGAGAAAGATTGGGGCTTGAAGATTAAGAACCCCAGCTCAGGTATGCCATGTGTCAAGATGGGGTCATCAATAGCATTTGAGTTCAGGGTTTTATTTACCTTTCTTCTTAGAGAAGAGTATGTACATCTTTTCCTGAGCCCCACAGAGGGATCTTTGGGAAAGCAGAGACAAGAGAATGGTTTTCTATTATATCATTAGCTTGGGAAGCAGTGATACACAGATCAGAGATCCTCAGACTTCAGCTCATATCAGGGTGCCCAGGAGGGCTTCTTAAAACCCAGATTGCTGGGCCCAACCCCAATGCTTCTGATTCTGCAAGGCTGGAGCATGCATTTCTGATATGTTTTTAGGAGATCACAGTGTGACATCTCATTTTAGCACAATGTCCAGCTAGAGTCTGTCTGAGAATCCATCAGCCACTCTAGGAACAAAGACTTATTTGTCCTGTAGGTAGTCTTCCTTTGCCCCTCCTCCCACGTGTGGAACCTGAACCCTTCAGGCTGATGCTCACCAGCTCTTTCAAGCATCATCATTGTTACACTGTTTCTAGGAGGTCAGGAGCTCCCTAGGGAAGGACAAAGGTGTCAGTAACCCAGGGGACTCTGTGGGTTAGTGGAGACAGGTTAGCAGAGAAGAAGTGTCTTTTTGTTTTTTCCACTGCATAGACCTAGAAACCATGAAATATTTCAGAGCAATCTATGTAGTATTTCTCAGCCCCGTTGAGATGGATTCTTCCCAGAAGAGGGAAGAGAATGTGGCAAGTGCTGCATTCAAGGGAGGCATAGATCGCCCAGGACAGAGACAGAGTCAGTGACCCAAAGTCTAGCTCTAGAACTACCCTATAACCATGGAATATCACTTTAGTCCTCTGGCCTGTTTCCATAGTTGTGAAAAGTGTAATAAGATTGACTTTGAAGGTGACTGTGAGGGTCAAAAGTGGGTGACCACGTGAACTGACGTGAAGCCAACCTGAGCCATCTTGGTTCCCACAGGAAGGATCAATACCTCCTCTCACCCGTGAACTGTTGGTATCTGGTACTGCATCAGACCCGGCGGGAGAGCCGAGACCATGCCACCCTCAATGACATCTTCATGAACAACGTCATCGTCCGCCTTTCCCAGATCAGTGAGGATGTCATCAGACTCTTCAAAAAGGTGAGCTGCTCTATCTGCCCCAGGTCTCTTTCCCAGACTGGCCATGACAATATTCTACCATCAGGGTGAGATGTATTTTGGGGACAAGGGACCAGAAAGGCAGGTGTTGAATGATACAGGGGGCAGAGGGGTTCACTATACTCTCCAGCCCAAATTTGACCTCTGTATGGGTCTTTGAAAGACAGTGTGTACTCAGCCACTTTAGCATCTAGGGACACAAGAGTAAACTCCATTACATAGCTAAGTGTGTAGTATACATATATCACAGGCAATCTGGAAAGATGGAGGTGGGACATGGGCACAAAAATTTAAATCAACAGAAATTTTATCAATCACTTTGAAATTCTAGAAATTTCATTATGTATACTTATATAAATATATTTCCTGTGAGTGCCTATAATATGTGCACTTTCTAGAATGCACACACATTTCTCCCTGTGTAAGATTATACGGTATATTTGATATTACTGCCTACTTATGTCACCTACCAAACTTAGGTAATGCTCTCTGTCAGAAATTTCCCACATTGAAAATTTGCTTCTGTTTTGAATGACTGCACAGCATTTTGTTATATTGACTTGCGCTGACCTACGTACCTGATCTCTTTCTATTGAACACTTTGGTAAATGCCATTATTTTATTGTTACAAAAAGTCTCACTGTGAGCTCTTCCTGTTGCACGAATCCTAAATGGTCTTATAATAAAAACCTGGAGCCAAATATTGGGGTAAAAGCTGAAAGATCAGAGGAAATAAAGGAACAGTCACTTCTTACCTCGCCAACTTCTCAGCCGATCCTGTCTCCATGAATCCTCAGACTGAACGCCTCCGAGTCCTCAGCCAAAAGGCCTAGATCCTGTCTTCTCATGCCTTATATGCCTTTCTCCACCTAGCCATTACTTCCTTCCTAGTGGTGGGATTAATGGCCTATGTGCTTTCCAAATACTGGTGACAGAGCCATGAGATCTCAAGTGCTGGGATTAAAGGCGTGTGACTCCCAAGTACTGGGATTAAAGGTGTGTGCTACTACTTCCTGGCTCTGTTTCTCTCCTAGACTGAGTCAATCTCATGTAGTCCAGGGTGGCTTTGAACTCACAGTTCAGACAGATCTCTGCCTCCTGAGTGCTAGGATTAAAGGTGTGTGCCACCACTGCCTGGCCTCTATGTTTAATCTAGTGGCTGGCTCTGTCCTCTGATCCTCAGGCAAGCTTTATTTGATACACAAATATCACCACACTTCCCCACATCCATTGTTACTTAGGATCAGTTTCCCCAATGGCAATCAGGTCAAAAGCTGGTTTACTTTTAAAGCTTTGGTGGAATACCCCAGTGCTGAAAGAAAGGTTTTACCGGGAAATATCCAGTAGCCGAGGGTGAAGAGAGCCATTGATTTTCTGCAGCCTTTGTCCTAATGAGGCTGCATTTGGGGCCCTGAGTGAAGGTCAGACATGCTATTCCAGAGGGGGAAGCAGCTCAGCAGGAGACTAAATTCCTTAATATTTTAGAAAGAAAATAATCCTGGTACTATCCCTTTAAAGCCCCATGTGTCCTGTATATCTTCAGGCTTGTGACTTAAACCTGTGCCTCAGTTTCCTCACTTGTGAAATGGGTAGAAACACCCTGGTGGGGGGGGGGGTGGCAGCACAGGCTAGCCTGGCCTTGCTCTGTGAAAGCTGGCTGTGACCCTAGGACAGCAGTGATTGTTCCTCCGTGTAGCTCTGCTCTTCTTCCCAGGTACCAGTGTAGTGATCTGGTGACCCAGGGTTGCTAGACCCACACGGAAGGGCCCAAGCTGCTGACTTGGAATAGAACCATCCTTCTGAGGTCTGTGCTTGGCTCGTCCATTTCGAGGACAACTTCTACAGAAGAGCTGTAGTTGCTGCCTCATGGCCTCCCACTACACGAAACACTTCTGGTTTCTTCTTGATGCTGTGTTTATGAAATGTGGTCTGAGTTTAATATTTGCATAAGCAAACATAATTAGAAAGGTAAACACAGTGCCAAAAAAAAAAAATCCCACAGTGCTTCACCGAGGCCCGCTGACAAGCTTTAGCTGTCTGCTGGTTCGGAGTCCTGATCCTGGTGTGGGCCCCGCCCGATGCTGCTGTCACAGCCTTTTCCTGGGTGGGAATGACTCAGAGAGAAAGGGTCGTCAAGGCCTTTAGGACATGAGGGCTCTTTTTTTTCCTGCGCTGAGCCCTGGGACAAGTGAGATCAATCTTCGCAGTTCTCATTTAGCCCGACAGCAGCCTGACTTGTGATGGAGGTTAACAGGGCGGAAAATAATGAAAAATGTCCACAGCTGAGCTCCTGGCTGCCTCGTTACCAGGCCCGTCCTGTAGAACAAAGGAACTGACCTGGCCCCTGTGGGCTGGGAGAGTGTCGGGACGAGTGTGCCTGGCTGACTTAGCCCAGTGAGGTTCCTTTGTTGTGCCCACATTATATATAACTCGGAGCTGAGCCCCATGCTCCTTATAGAGGGGGAATTCTTATATTTCTCTCAACCACTTCAGGACTAAGTCCTTCCTGGGCAAATGGTGGGGGTACACTCCATTTTATGCAGCTTCAAGGAGAACCTAAATGTGATTTTAGTCCCTTACCATCAGTGAGGCAGGGCTTTTAAAGTTTGTCTCTGTACTGCTTCACTGACTACCCTGGCCAATCTCTTTAAGCCTCAGTCTTCTCATCTGGGAAATGGGTCTGGTACAATGACTGCACTGGGGACCACTTGGAGAACAAAGGCATGTCAAGTGCCAACATCAGGTGTAGCACTCAGAACATACTCAAGAAATGGAAGCTTGTTAGGGGTCCCTCGCATGGAAGCATGTGGCCAACTTGGGGTCCTAGTGCTTGATGGGGTGTTTCCTGACCACCCACCCAGTCTTACTCTGGCAGTCAGGAGGCTCGGGATGGCTGCTGTGGGCCTGAAAGAGTTGCCCTGCCTGCCGTCTCCTCCCAGATCATTATCTGCCTCACTTGATTCTCACACCTTTACCACTCTCTGCTCTCCTTTTCATAGAGTCTGGGTTTCATTTGTTTGTTTGGTTTGGTTATTTTTCATTTTTATTTTATGTGCATACATGTGTAGTCTACATGTGTGTACGTGTACCATGTGCGTGCAGTGCCTGTGGAAGGCAGAAGAGGGCATTGGATCCTCTGGAATGGGACTTACAAGCATTTGTGAGCAGTAACGTGGGTGCTGGGAACTGAACCTGGGTCCTCTGCAAGAGCAGAATGTGCTCTTAACCACTGAGCCACTCCCTAGCCCACGGGGACTCTGTTTTACAGAGAAGTGGCAGCATTGCAAATTCCAGAAGCTCGTGTCTCTTAGAGGTGCAGCTCCGTCATCCAACTCCTCTGGAGACTGATTCATCATTGAGTTCATCATAAGTTCAAGGCCAGCTCAGGCCACAGACTAACCAGGTCAACGTAGTGAGACCCTGAGTATGTGTGTGCATGCATGTGTGTGTGTGTGTGTATATACTTGTCTCCCTGTAAGATACTTCCCATAGTTCTAACAACTTGTCAGAACCTCTCAGGATGAGACTGAATTCCAGACAAAGATGAGCCAGTGGGTGGGACCACACCTTGACTGGGACATGTTAGATGTGCACATCCTTGGCCCTATGTTTAAACTTCCATCTCACTTCAGGACTCCAAAGATGGACTTGAGGGTTTTTCTGTAACTCTTTGTCCCTCTTCTCAATGTGACATTGAATAAATCTTTTTTTTCTTCCCGCTTTTAAATTGGCTCTTTTTATTGGTTTATTGGTTGCTGGACCTGACTTGGGCACAGATTGTGATACCCCACCCCAGTTTGGTAACAGAAGGGCTTGGGATGTAGCCCAGAGACTGAACACTTGACTAGCGTGCATGACTAGCCCATCATTCAGTCCCCAGCACTAGGGAAAGGCATTCCCAAAGCTCCTGGAGGTGCCTGGCTTTAAGGGAAGGGGTCTGGCTCAGACAGAGCAGAGTGGAACTGCATGAGATCTTAGAGGCAGTCTGAAATGGTCAGGACCTGTGGCTGTGGACAACAGAAATATAGTTCCCCCTGCTTGAAGGGGGAAAAGGCTTTTCAGCTTTTTCAAGATGCCCTTGGCTTGAGGCATGGGGGTGCTTCTAGGGACACAAAGATTATTTTCAGATAATAGTCTCTATTTCTGCTCTATGGCTGTGGTGTCTGTTTCCCAGTTTTCAGGGGAGAGGTCTGATGAGGAGCCTTTTCTCAGTTAGTTTGTCCCACTTCCAGGACCAGGTGGCTCCCAGCAGCTTCAGGCTTGAATCTGATCTGCTTTTAATCGACCATTAGATCTTCTAAGCACTGATTGGTCCAGCACAGACATGTGATCACCCTTGACACTGCCTCTGTGGTGAGGGAGCTCTCTCACCCAAGTGTAGGGAAGATGCCCACCTCTGGAGGAGGAGGTGCTCAACTCTGCTGATCCACAGGGCTGAGGATGGGTGAGGGTGGCTCCCCAAGAAAAGTTGGGATGTCCTTATGAGAGGAAAGAGATAACAGATGTCCCCTGGACTCTCTACTCCAGTCCTTTTATCGTGTTTAACTATGTGTCCCTCAACAAAGGGTGTGCCTTACCTCTCAGGATTGCCCATTCTGTCTGGGGACAGCTGCGCTCAATAGACAGTCCTTCAGTGCAGAAATGTAATAATATAAGTTTTCTGCTCTTGGCTTCTTGAGGGCCACAAATATCCTATAAGTGCAGAAACCTGTTTGCTGCTTGGAGACCGAAATCAAGGTGGTCCACCCAGGTCTTCGCTGCCTGGAGATGCACATTCCCGTTCACTTGGATCATCTCTATGGTTTGCTTTGTGGTCTCCCTGGAGGCTGCTCACCATGGGTTACTCTTGAGTTTTCTCTGACCTGTAGTTGTTCATGGTGAGAAGCATGCAGGAGGAAGGATTGACCAGCTTGGAGTGGAGAGAGCTATCTCAAACACTTCAACTCTAATAGCACCAAGAAAGAAAATGCTTGCCTTTCCGG